AAACAAACAGGATAAGAACTCATTGTTTACATGGAAAGAGAAATGATGATGAAGATGATTCTTATAGCCATGATGATGGAGATGAAGATGAGTGTGAAGATAAGAATTAAAAAGGATATGAAGAGAGAACCAGGTAAGAATGGATGATAAGAATGAGGAGTAATAAAGAAGAAGATTAAAAGAAGAGAGAGAGGGAGAATAGAACTTTTCTTCAATATCTTCTTCTTCAGAAATGGGCGAGGAAAAAGATAAGTGATGAAGATGAAGATGAGAAGATTATGAAGATGATGTGAAAGATTCTCTCTCTCTATCATCATGATTCTGATTCTAAAATTATCTCTGAATATTCATGAGTTTCTCATAGACTCTTCCAGGTAATACTAATCAGAATCACCATCTACCTTTATCATAATGAACCTCATCTTAATCATCATCATCGTTATTGTAACAATTAAACTTTGCCCATTTTCATTGTTTAAAATTAAGCTATTAAAAGTGATTAAAAAATGGGTAATTTGGTTAAAAGAATGAAAAAATTCAATGATCAAAACGATAATCCTTAATCATGATCATTAATCGTCATAATCATTGATTAATCAGCCAAACTAAACAAAATTACATTAATTGTGAGGGTAATAAATAGATTAGTATTTAAAACTTGTTGATTGTTACAATATATCAAGATTATCATAATTAATAGTTGATTAGTTAAATTTTTTAGGTTTAAGGTAAAGTTTTGATTGTACAAATGATTATGATGATGTAAAAATAAATCAGCTGACAATCAACAATTAACTAAACATTTAACAGTCAACAATAAGGTTCAATATTTTTACCTGTCGTGTTGATTGATTGTTATCAGAAATTAACTGTCAATTATTTAATTTTTTGACAAGTTGATTAACATGAAATATGTAAATAAACAATAACCATTTGTTTAATTGTTGTTTTCTTGATTGTCTTGATTATAGAAATAACTTTCTAATGATTAAAATAACTTGTTAATTTAAATGATGCCGATTATTAATTCCTAATGACAATTAATTGTTTCCCTTTTTTATTCAATTAAACTTCAAGTTCAATATCCTGCCAATTGGAAAATCAATTGATTGTTGAAAGTTAAATTGTTACCAATAATTAATAAGTGTAAATACACAACATGTTGAGAGAGAAATCAAACAAAGTGAGACTTTAATTGTAATCAAATTTAACTATTACAATCAACTAATTGTTGTTATTATTACATCGGATTGGCGAGTAAATTTCCCCTTGGCAATCAAAAGTAATTAATGAAGAAAAAATTTTCACCATCAAAATTTTAATGGTAACAATTAAAATCTTTCAATTCATTTTCCAGTTAATTATAAATCAACAATCAACAGCTAATGATAAATACAATGATAATCAACAGAAATCACCATTGTAATGAAAATAGTTAACAATAGTTACCGCTGACAATTAATTAACAATTAAATTTGACAACAGTCCAAGCAACAGGGAGGAGATGAGCATCAATGAGTCAATTGCAATTTACTTATGATGATAAATTAACACAACAATTAAATCTGAATGTGTTTCTTAATCAACAGATTATTACATCAACAATTAACATCATCCTTTTGTGAGATTTTCATTTTCATGGTGGAAAAAAAAACTTTGTTGACTTTTTTTCACACTCGAAGATGAAGAAAGCAAAAAATTAAATGCTCAACCTCTCATCATCATCATCATCATCTTTTAGCATCCTCATCATTTGGAAATGTTAAGAGCAAATATTAAGTGAATTATTTCCGTTGGCGTGAAATGATCAGTCCAGGTAAGGAAAAAATTTACAGGTAAATTTTTCAGTAGAAAAGAATAGAATAGAAAAAGAAAGAAAAAAAAAAGAAAAGAACATTAAATTGGTGTGTATTGTGTAAATTTCTTATGCAACGTAAGATTATTGAAAGAAAACAAGCAAACCCATGATGATGGTGACTGTTGTTGATTGTTTACAAGATGATTGTCGGGATTTTTAGGTGGAGATTCAGGTAAATTTATATATATAAAGTAAAGAAAATGATGAAGAAAAAAAAAATAACATTGAAAGGATGATGAATAACAATGAATGTGAATACCATGATTCCTGGTGTAAAATTGAGCCAGAAAAAGTTTTAGGTGGACCCCAGGTAAATGAATCAGCCCAGAACAGGTAACAATCAAGGTGAATAGGGAAAAGAGTCTTTAAGACAATTTAAGAGGGAGTCTACTAATTCTTGTCATTGAGAGAGGACTTTTTTTTTGTAGAATAGAAAAAAAGAAACTCTAATGATGATGATGATGATGATGAAGGAGGAGGAGTGGGAGTGGGAGGAGATGGATAATCTCGAGAAAAGATTGAGATGATTATGTGATTTTCTTACTTTTAAATTGTGATTACGAATTTCAAATTCTGAGTCTCTCTGGTTGATTATTAACTTTTAAATTATTATCACAATTAGATTGAAGATAAATTAGCATCATGATGAGGTTGATTATCTCTCAGTGATGTTGATCATTATTTTACTCTTCAAAATTGTCAAGGTAATTACAATGTTTCCCAAATTCTAATTGTTGGTCTAACTTATTATAAGAGAAATGTAATTAATTTCAATTGTAGAGCTTCAAATGTGTCACAATTAACTATTTTACCTTTCACTTTTCTGCTGTTTCCATTGACCAATGGTCATTATTTTACACCATTGGTAATAATATCATCTTAAGCCCGATTGTGATTAAATTGTACAATGATTGCTGATAACTAAATTGTTATCTGTTGTTTAGATATTGTAACACCTTTGATTGCAATTGAATCGCAATCAATTGTAAAAAAGTTGATTAGTGTGATTAAAGTCCAGTCATTGAATGGTAATTATCATTTGATATTAATTTTCACCTTTAAATTGTTACAAAAACACCGGAAATATGTATTAATATTATTTTAAATTGTCGTCGTAAACAATTTGCTATTAATCCTGAGGCTTAGTTTTGCTTGTTGTTGATTTCAATTAAGGTACAAAATTGCTGTTATTTTGTTGTTGTTGTTGTTGTGTCTCTCACTGTAGATACTATTGTCCTCGATGTAAACAAATGTGTAATAAATGATAATAATAATAATAATAATACAGGTAAATCAGGTAAAGGTAAGTCAAGATCCGTTTGATTCGCATCGATGAACCTTTAAGGTTTTGACTGGTTTACCTTTTTTATTATCAAGCATCATTCACTTTTTTTTTATATTATAAGAAATTAAATATTATTATCAATGTAACCGGGAGGGTGGATGATGATGATGATGATGATGATGATGGGATTGTTTCCTTGAGGCCAAACAGCCAAAGAAATATTAAATTCACGGTCAATGGAGATACACAAGATTGTGTTTATTGAGAGAGGAGGATGGAAACTGTATTGATGTATTAATATATTTATTGATAATTTTGTTGATGAAAAAAGAAAGGTAATGATTAAGGTCCAGTGTCAGTTATATAACAATTACCCAATGTGTATATATACTGGTAACATCATCTACCTGTGACCCAGATTATGTGACTGGTCAACAGGTAAGCAGAAATTATTGTTTATATAAAAGTAAACATGAATTTGGATAAACAAATTATATTAACTATTTCATTCATCATCTTGTCAGATTATGATGAGGATGATGATGATTGGGAGGAGGAGATAATGTTAACTTGTCAATTGCTTAACTGACCATTCAAGATTCAGGCTAATTATTATTCAGTAATTTTAATTTTAATTTTCCAATTTGCATTTTGAATCAATGTCCAGCCTGAGAGAGAGAGAGGGAAAGAAAAACAAAAGAAAGGTAATGTCCAAGAATAGGTAATTTTGTGAATGATGGACCTTTAGTTTTCCAAGTGTAAACCTTGACCAGTTTGTTAAATTGTTTGCCAGTTAATCAGTTGCTAAATTTGTTAATCGGTTGATTGTTTTTTAAATGATTTAAAGTGAACAGAAAAGTGAGATAAATATGATTACCTGTTTGTCCGAGAATTGAAACTCTTTTAAAAGGGATAAAGTGACCGACTTTGATTACTCAATTTGAACAGGTAAAAATTGATTCGAATCAGTTAATTTGGTCAATATTGAGTAAGAAAAAGATACAATATCTTACCTGTTGACTATCAAACCATCAACAGGATCAGTGTCAAAAGTAAACACACTTGATAGGATTATTTATATTTTTTTTTATTCGCCATCATCTTCATCAAACCAAAGCATCTTCCAAGTTATTATATGTATTATATGAAGAAAAAAAAAATGTCGAACAAAATGTTTAGAATAGAACAAAAAAAAAGTTTCGAAAGTTTTTTTTTCTTCTTCTTCTTCTTCATGGTTCGATGTTGACATGATTTCGACCTGATCTTTATCATCTAATTAAGACGATTGTTGTTATTGTTTTTTTTTTCTCTTCGAATGTGTAACCTTGAATGTGGACATTTAGTTTATTATTGAAAGTTTTCATTAGTTGATTCAGTTTGGTGGATAATTAAGTCAACATGATTTAGTCAATCGATTGATAAACTTTGATACTCATCACGGATTTGGAAATGACCATTAGAAAACTAGATGATTTCTGTTAATTGTTTGATAATTAACGATGATATTTATATTGTTCAATATGGTTAATTTGATTACTTTAGACGGGCAATTAGCAATCAAATTAAATAAGTAACAGACCTTAACGTCTGGTGGCATCAATCAATTTACTTTGTATTAAATTGTTACAAGTGAATAAGAAAAAATCAACTAATTGTTGTTGCACTTTGATTATGAATACAAGATTCACTTGTTTGATGATACAATTAAATTAACCTTTTCCCTTTGTTGCTGATTAATCAATGATGATGGTGATAATTATCTCTGTCTGATCTTCAAATTATTACAATTAAAGATGAGGATCATCATCATCTTCAGCGGAAATGAATTAACTAATTGTTGGACTGATTAAAATTCACAATATATATAAACCTTTGATTTTTGACCAGAAATCACTTTCACTTGAGTTGATCAAAGTATAACTTTAAATTGTCAATCAAATTGTGCAGTTAATACCAATTAGATAATCTAATCCCTCTACTAATCAATTAAACGATGAAATTAACACCGGTAATTATATTGTTTTTATCATTGTGCTTGACCACTTTAGGATCAGATGAAAATAAATCAAAAGCCGATGGACAATCAACTCCAGCTAAGGAATCAATTGAAACAACGGATTTAATGGTTTCGGAGACTCGACAGCCAAGGGTCAGTGTTTTTTACGTTTAATTTAGTTTAAATTGTCACCAATTTCATTCTAATTGTCCACTTTGTACTGCTACAGGTTCATCACCACCACCATCATCATCATCATTCATCGAAAGCGGGTAAATTGATTGGTTACGATTTTCGGCATTTTTCTATTATCACTATTATCGTTTTCGGTGCTGATATTTTCATTATCTATTTCCATAGGTCACCATTGGCATCATCACGGGCATGGACATCACCACAATAACCACCATCATCATGGTCACCATCATGTAAGTTTAATCAGAATTATTCTGATCACAATCAAAAATTTCACCGAAATCGTAAAAGTTTCATGTCCTGATAAACTTTTGTCTCTTCCTCTATTGCAACTGGTCATCTTAGGGTCATCATCACGGTCACGGTAAGTTTATCAATCTAATAATCATTAATCAAAACAAAACGAAAGTCAAAAAGTTACAATTTAAAAGTTTCAAATCGATTCATTAATCTAAACAAAAATCGCAAATCAATGTTACCATTCAGAACTTACAACCGATGGTTGTAAATTTTCAGTCTCAATTAAGCTTCTGATTAACAATCAGCTTAATTGAGACAGACAATTAACATGAATCAGTAGTAAAATAAACAAGTTATTAGTAGATTATGTATCAACAATTAAATCACGTATACGCAACTCTTTACAATAGTTTCTTTGTAAGTCTAGAACGAACTGAATTAACTTGAAATGACGTTAATTGTGCCCTTGAAATGATTGATTACAAATTTCCAGGTAACTTAATCTATTGAATAGTTTTCTAGATGAAATTATTATTTATATTAGTATGAAGAAAAGATAAACAAACTAACAACAATTTGAGTTAATTGTTAGGCAAATGACATTTCAAGAATATTATTATTCATGTTTCCATGAAATTTATCAATGAGATTACATGAGAAAGATGATTGAAATTATTTCATCATGTGATGAATCACAAGACTCAGCGAGTGAGTAAACAGAATAATAAAATTGAAGATAAGGATGATAAGGATGATGAGTCTCATTCTCTATCAGGTTTTCATATAAATTGATTGTTTCCAATTGAGTTAAATTCACTTGATAATTTTGTGTCTCTGTGCTGAAATTTTGCTTCTGGTTAACCATTTTAAACTATTGATTGTTTTACTCGGTGAAATTTTTATATTCAATTGTTAATTGTTAATCAAAAGTGTTGATTGTTAAGCAAAGAAAATGGCTGAAAAATTAACTAATGATCTTGAAAATCTTAATGTTAACAACGATGATTGTGTTACCCTGGAAGAGACAATGATTGAGGAAATTGTTGATTGTGATCAACCATCAACATCTAAATTGTTAGGGTGTAGAGGTAAGAATATCGATCACAATTTAGTAATATTAACAATTAGGAAAAACATAATTTATATTTCAGCTTAATTGAGATTCAAGTTTCTCGTTGACAATTAACTCAATCTCTTCCTGATGTAATCTTGGTTCCAATGATTTCGTGTTGATTTTAATTGCTGGAAAAATGTAGATGATTATTTTTAAAGGGAGAAAATTGTTTACAATTAGATTAATTGTGATTTAAGATAAATCAAATGAATTGAAATTAGAAATTTTCACCTTTCAATTGTAACTTTGGCTTTCGATTTGGATAATAATCAATCCCGTTAATCTTTCTGGTTGAACAAATGGATTAAAAATCATCAGAGAAGTACTTTGATTAATCCTTTCCCTTTCCTTTTTTAGCGAACAATTAATTAACTAATTTACTAATTGGGTTGTATGTTTTTCTTTTTCTTATTTTCTAACAGGTCACAAACATCACCACAAAATAAACATCACCATAAACATGGACATGGACACACTCATGGTCACAATCATGGACATGGTCATGATCATCATCACCATCATGGTAAGTTAATTATGTTTGAACAATCAGATCAATTTAATCAACTTGAGAATTCAATTATTGATCTAATGATTGTCATCTACAATGTTTCAGGTCATCATGGATGGCACGATGAAATGAGTGACCATCACCATGGTGGTCATCATGCTCATGGTCATCATGCTGGACACAAGCACGACCATGGACATGGACACAGCCATAAACATGGACATAAAAATGAGCACGGCCACAAACACGGGCATAAACATGGCCACAAACATGGACATGATCATAAACATAAACATGCCGATAAACATAATCATGAAGATATTCATGATAAGAAAATAATCAAAGTGATCAAGATTATTGATGCCGAGTAAACAATCAATGTTAACTCTGGTCAGCAAATGATCACATTGAAAAAAATGACCAATTGAAAGCCTGGTGCTTATTGGTTTTTGGGAATCTATTGGATATATAATTAAGTTAACATTATGTAATCAAGTTAATTTGGGTTAATCAATAAAATTTTTCTACTTGAATAAACAATCCTGTCAAATATTATTTCACTTTCTATTCCGTAAACATATAAAATTCATGTAACTTTTCAATATAATTAAGATATCAACAGTTTTTCTACTTAATTACCATTTAACAATTAAGACAAGCGAAGATTGAAAACCGTTAAATGGTTTAAAATTGAGGTAAATTAATTAATTATATACTTAAATGAAAATCCTTTTTGATGGTTAAAAGTATCCCGGATAAAGATGATAACATTGACCGAGAATAGTGTTGTTATTGTAAAGCTGAAAATGATAACAATTGATCAACTGATTATATCATTAACCTTGAAAATTAAGGTTAATTTAATTGTCCATCTTAGACAATTGAATTAATCTTGTTATCTTCATTGGATAAGATTATCTGTCCATTCCTGTGTCCAAAAAAGCTTTCAACTGTCCCATTGTTTTTGGCGTTTAGGTTGATCACGTTTTCAAAAGCCTAATAATTGTCGCTAATTTTTCCGGCTTTTGGTGACACACATTCAGCTCAGATCTGTTATTGTTGTTGTTGTTGTTGATGATGATGATGATAAAATTGTTGTTTACATTGCCAGCAAGCATTTAATCATTAAAAAAGACACTAAATTAGGGTGTATGCTTAATTACTGAAAAAAAGGTGAACTAGAGGCAGAAAAATCAGATTAATTAACTGTTTGTTCATATAAATACCTGATTGTTGATTTGATTTTCTTTATATTCTTCCTCTCCTGGAGAGACAAGTTCAATCGTAATTGAGATACAATCATCATCAATAAATAAATCGCCAATGGGGTTAATTGTAAATAAGTGTTGATTGTATAGAGAAAATAATAACTGATCATCAAATGACATCCATTTTTTTTCCATCATGTAACAAGAGATTTAAAGGTAATAATTATCATCACCAGCATCAGAACAAGAGAGATAATTTGTCTGCAATCAAAGAAAATTAAGAAATTGTCGAAAAATAAAAACAAATATTAATTACAATCATCTTGATATTAGAATGAGAAAAAAATGAAAACAATTTTTTTTTCAGAAAATATAACAAATCAAACTAAACGAATACACTTTACCTTCAATTGCTTAGACAATCCAATTAGACGCATATCAGGAGATCACAGGTAATCATTGGAATAGTAAAATTAGAAACAATCAATTAGTTAATCAGGTAAATTAACAATCAAAAAAAGAAAAAGAGAAAAACAAAACAATTAAGATTAGACATTTTCTTTGTCTACAAAAATCGCGCCAATTTTTAATTCCAAAGGGAGGGAACATTTTCAAAGAAAAAATTGTAACTGTTTATTTCTTCAATTTGATCAACCCTTTTATTTTTAATTTCACTTTTTTTTGTATCAATTGGATTAATTTTTAATTCTGATTGATTTGATTTTCTCTCATTTCTAATTGTTGACACATCCTGGTGGTGTTTAGTCACCAAGTGGATGGACTAATTGTCGAAACAATTAATTTTATGCTCCAGAAAATATAACAAACTCTTTGGGTAGGTTTACATTTGTCTCTCTTTATTATCCTTTTACTTTCATAATCAATTCAAAACGGTTAATTGTTGTTAATTGAATTACGATTGTTTTTTTTTGTTACAATATTAATCTTTTTCTTCTCTTCATTTTGATACAGGTACAAATCATCAACAATTTAACGTTTTAAATTTACCTTTTCTTTTACATCTCTTGTTAACATGGAGGAGATTCACTTACTTGTTGCTTTCTAATGAAGAGATTACAATAAGCGTTTAATTGAGTTACTCTTTGGGTTAAATTGTCTTCTTCTCAAGATTAATACAGTTGATCAACAAAATTATCATTATTTTGCTATTTCTATTGTAAAAGTAAGTGTTTAATTCATTTAAAAATGAGTTAAATTATTAACCGTTAAAAGAGCGAAATGTTTAATTTTAATCAACAACAACAACAAGAAAAACAATAGGCCTTAAGTGATGAGTTTATAAACAGTTGAACCCTTTTTGGTTAATTTGTTTTCATCTCTCATTTAAATTTGTATTGTTTAATTAATACAATTAGAGGAGATGAAAAAAATTAACCAACTACTCAACAATCAAGGTTTGTTGACTGTTTTTTTACTCTTTCTTTCAACTCAACATTTAAATGACACAAATTCACTTGATGATAATGAAGAGATGAGACTTGTTATTATTTTCTTGTTGATTGTTACTTAATTACGATATAATAGTTGATGATGATTATGATTTTTATATTTGATAATAATTTACCTTTCTGACCTTGGTTAAGCCTAAACATTTTTCCTTTTCATTTTTATTTATAGCTCATTCAAGATGGACATCACCGGACAGAGCGTTTATCATTATAATGGTGATGATACAATCTAATGAATAACTTAATTAAGAAAGGACAAGATTAAGATGGTTGACCTTTGATATGAACACACAAAGATGACCATTAGCGATTAGATGATATAATCTGACAATGATGAAGATCAAATTAATGACCAAGAGCTTGATGATATTAATATAAAGTGAAACAATATTGCCAACTGATGATAACAATTAACATTATGATTATGAACTTCCTCTCATTTGATCTTAATGGATTATCTTCTTACTATTGGATTTTCAAATTAACTGATTGTAATATATTCAATGTGGCCAATTGATTCCAATCAATTACAATGTCCAGTGTGATTATTTCATCAAAATCTCCTACAAATGATCAATCATTGTTGTATCGATATAATCATTAGAAACTAAATTAGTTGATTCTAATCATCGCCGTCCTAGAAAAAGTAAGTCAATAATATTTAATTTCTCAATTTAATCTTAATCATAATCTTTATGTGATACAGAATTTGATTCTCATTTAAATTGTAATCATTTCTCTTGATGTTCAACTTCAAATTAACTGATTAGTATTTACGTTTTAATGTGATATTAACTTTTAATTTCAAATTTTTATTCTTTTTCAAGGTTTAAATTACAATTCCAAAGGAAAATGAAATGATTGGAAAATAGTGATTGGCCAATAAGAGACAAAGACAAACCACAGACAACAATTAAGATAAATGAGATGTCAATGAAATCAGATTCTATCCTGGTATATAAGAACTGTAAAGGATTCCCAAAGTTGTTCCAATTGTTTTTCTGCAATTTGATATCTAAATGAAATAGAAAACTATATTACCATCAACAATCATCAGCCGATCAGAAAATCGAGTCCACTTTCACCTGATTGTTTCTCCCGATTATTCTCACAATTTATTTATTATCAATCAAAATGGGAGCGAAAAAATCAAGCAAAATGATTACAGTTTAACAGTAACAACAGTTATCCAGATAAAAAGGAAAACAAATATATAAGAAAAAAAAACGAACCGAAATCACATTGAATCATAAAAACAACAACAAGAGAAAAGTTTTTGTTACTTCGATGGAAATTGTTGATAAAATTTTGGCTAAACACGATCGGTCAATAAACTTCAACATAATTGCATCCTCATTCACTCATTATCATCATCATCATCATCATCATCTTCCTCCTTCATCATCTCCATCATCAGGATATCTCATAATCATCATCAGCTTTTCATTTGACCAACGGGTTTTTCATCATCAATGTGTTCATGTTTCCTCACTAACTTGAAGGGAAAAGCTGATAATTCAAATTAATTCCAATAATTTGATGATATTAAACAAAACGCACAATTAACTTACTCGAACAAACAAATCCAGTTAACTAAACTTATTATGTGATGATTAATTAATAATTTTTTCTTGATTGAAATTAGTTGCCGATGTTATATATCATTGATTTCGTGATGGAAACCTCTTGTTATCTCCCTCTAATCATAATCTTAATATACACACTTACTTAATTACTGTGATTCTCACTTAATTAGCCAATTATTTTTGGCAATCAAATCAAGAATATTTAAAAACTATCCTCATCATGTTTATCTACTCTAATCAACTTCACAATTTGAACCAGAGCAGTAAAGATTCATCATTGGAATTGATCACAACTATTACACGGAAGTGAATATCATCACAATCAATCAAGAAATCAAAGTATTTACCTTTCACCCTGATGAAACAAAACCTGATTTAATTATAATTTACCTGATGATGATTAGATTGCCAGAAGAGTGTAAAAGTAAATCATGATTTAGATTGAAAATTTTCATGGTAAAATAGTATCTTGATTACCCAGTAACCTTTTTCATTGAGACCCTATTACCAATAATAAAAGTTAATTGTGTCAATAGATTAACAATTAGCTTCTAATTTAATAGTATCAATAATTTGGTTTATAACAATTGTGATTAAATTTTCTAATTATAATACAGATTATCGTTCATACATAATGATGATAATACTTTCAATTCAATATTGAAAAGAATCAAATTTAAAGATAATTACTATTTTCTTACCTTAACCATTTTCTTAAAGAAACAAACAATCATAAAGTAATTGAAGATGAACATCTTTTCACCTAAATCATGATCATGGTAAGATCATTGAATAAGAATAATCAAATTATCAAATTATCAAGGAAAGAGACATTGAAGAAACGATAAACATGATTATCATCATCAACAAAAGGACTCAATATGTTGATTGTTTGTGTTACCTGGATCAAGAAGTGATGCTAATTTCATCATCATCAAAAACCATATGTCGAATCGTAGATTTCACTTTAATACGTTTTACTTGCGTGTCTTAACTGTGACTTGGGAACTCACCTTGAAAAAGAAGTAAAATTTAATAAGGTAAGAAGGTGATACGAATGAGGGTCAATGCGAAGATGGAGAGAGAGAGAGAGAGAGAAAAAGAGATGAAGATGATGAAAAGAAAAGCAAAGGTAGAGACAGGTAATGTATACAGAATACAAAAGAATCGAAAAGAATAGAAAACTCTTTTCTATTCTAAAAAGATATTGGGTGGAGTAGAAAGAAAAAAAATAGCCTTAGGATAAGAGAGAAAGGCAGGAAGTGTCTCTAGAGAGGTCAAAGGTAGACTAGAAGATAGAAGAGAGTAGGTTAGGTCAAAACGGAAGACGCGTGAATAGAAAACTCTACTAAACAAGTCTAGTGTATTGTCGGTGTACAGAGTAATAGCGATGATGGTGTTGGCGGCGGTGGAGCGATTACAACTACTACAACCAACGAAAAGCTCTCAACCATTGAGAAGATGAAAATAACAAGAGCTGCCAAAAGGAACCATAGACAAGAAAAAGAAGTGAAAATAAACAGAGGAAGAAAAAAACTCGAGTAAAAGGAAACCAAACCAAAAGATGGAACCAAGTCACGTTAACACGTTGCCACGAAAATGCATGTCTACCTTATCATCATCATCATCATAATCTCTCTCATCTTACCCAGCTGTCCATCTTTCGTGTCTCTCTCGCTACGTACCAATGATTTCTTGCAAGAATCCACCGCACTCTCCATATGCTTATTCTTGTTGACTGTAATCACAATGACGAAGAAACTTGTTGATTGTTGATCTTTCCAGTTACAGGTAATCAACAGATTGTTTACTTTCTACCTGGATATACATTTTTTTTCCTTCTCCATCTTAATTATAATCCCGATGATAATATTTATCTTATTACTCTCTCCATCCCTTTCCGCATCCATAGACATCAACTGAATGTCACTCAGCTGTAATATAAGAATCTTGATGATCAACCTCATCATTAAATTAATATTTTAATCGTCATCTTGATCTTGACAGTTAAATAAGTGTAGAGATCAACATTACGAAGGGTTAACAGATCACAATTAACCTTATTATCATGAGGATAATATTTTAATTTAAATTATTTTAGAACTTCCTAAATTGTTACCTTAATTGTTACTAATAATTTTTTCCATCTTTTTATTTTCTTCTGTCTCTTTTTCAATTGTTGATTATTTTAGATTATATTTAATTCAAAAGGAGATAATTAAAGCGCTATCATTTTGTTTGTATTGATAATCAAACTAATGATTGTTTCATCCTCATCCTGATAGTCAATTGTATTTGATAAGTAACTTCATCGTTCTGACCTGGTCATTTAGCTATTTGTTTGGGTCTAATCATCATCATCATCATCATCATGGTAATGATGTTAATAATATTTTCTGATACTGGATTAGTTTCAAATTTTATAACTATCATCAAAATTGTTTCGTTAACGATATCATCATCAGAATTTACTATCTCTTCAATGATGATACCCACCATTAGTTAATTGTTATCATCTTTCCGTTTGCTTACAGATTAATAGCTATCAAGTTAATTGTCCTTCCTCCATTGGAATCAGGTCAATTACATTGAATATTATATTTTCAATTCTCTTGATTATCAAATGATTTTCCAAACAAACACAAATACTAATAAACAATTAGAAAACCATAACAAGAGGTGAAAAGTTTTCCAACAATTAACCTTAGTTGATGAGTAATTGAAAATTTCATCGTTTCAAGTGGATCATTAAATTGATTAGTTATTAATTTAGATTAATTTTCAATAAAACCATTCAAATATGGTAATATTATTGAGAAGAGAAATCAAGTTAATCAAATTGAATTTACTTTAATCATTACTATTAATTTACAAGTTTTCAGGTTACAAGTATCATGATGATGAATACATTGTAAGAATCAGTGATTTAATATCAAGTACTTTGAGAAATAATCACCTTAGAACTGGAAAATTGTTAATACAACAATTAATATACAATCTAATTATTTTTGGGCCTTTTCGCTGATTGATGAATCATTAAACTTGACCTAGCAACTTTTTTATTTTCATTTAATTGGCTAATTGTGAACTAAATCAACTCTTGCAATGTTGCAAATATACAAACACGTTGATTATAATTACGGAAGCATTAATCTTAAGCCTACACAAATAATATCAGCAAACAATCAAGAAACAAACAAACAATCAGTTAATTCTGATAATGTCTTCAGAAAATTATTGTTCATGATGAAGAAGCTGTTGAACCAGTTACAAGAAATCCATTGATGATGATGATCATCATCACCATCATCATAATCTTCAATACTCCATGATGATTACTTACCGTTAGTTTGCCTGAAGCATTTTATTTTTGGGATGATGATGATAAAGGAGTAACAACAACATAATCATCATCAACATGATCAACAAGCTTCTGGGTTACTACAAAAATGATCACACTGAAGATGATGAATGAGATCAGGCTGAAAAAAAGGTAAGTAGTTGTAAAAACAACAGTAAATTATAACAATCAACTAACAATATATATATGAATTAACAATCCAACGATATCAACTAATCCAAATAATGAGAATACTTAATTTTCTTGATGAATTTCCCCCTGAATATTATCATGATTCTTGTCATGTTTAACTGGACACTCCTGTATGTATATATACAATTAACTTCCAATGATTGACCAACCCTTTTGTGTTCAACTGATTATCATTAATATGATAGTGATGAGGATCAAGATGATAACTGTTGTTGTATGAATTGATTATAAAATGATAAAAAACGATCTGATTATCATTATAAAAGGTACCAAACAATTTACGCTAATTGTTTGGGTTACAATTGGGAAAG